AGCCACTGAGGTGTTCCCACCTAGAGAGGAGAGGAGAGGAGAGGAGAGGGGAGGGGAGGGAAGGGAAGGGAAGGGAAGGGAAGGAGAATTTTGTTTATGGAAATGTCCATTTTTGTTTATCTTTGCTGAAAGACTGAGTGCTGGGAGAGCACTGGCCAGAAGCCACCAGGTTATCAAATTGCAGCAAGGACATCCTGGAAGATGCCAAGTAGGGAAATAAACTGTGTTAACTAAGTTCATGCCCCCTGTGCCCTGTGTTCCTGACAGAGTGAAGGCTTCTATCTTGCTCAGTACTGATTAGAAAAAGACCAAGCCAGTGATTATGCTGTTTCTATATTTAAAAAAATCCTGTTTTCCTACCTCTAGGAATCAACAACCCCCAAAGGAGCAGGTTCTTTTGTTGTATCCCAACACATAGTTACTAACAGTGAAAATTAATGCTATTTTCTAGGTCATTTGTATTAGCATGTTTGGCTCAGTCTTGAGTGTTTGAATTATTGATTCCTTCCTTACTTACATAGAACTGTTTTACTCTCTTCTCCTTACTGTTGCCTAAGTCATCACCTCTGCAGCATCACACAAGTCCGTGCTGTAGGCTGATGACAGAAACCTTTGCTGAGCAGAACCCAGTGGAGTTATTCTGTGTGCACTTCCTTGGCTCTTGGAGCACAAAGTTTAACCTGTCTGTATAAAAGCTTGCACAAAAAACTGCAGAGCTCCTCTCTATTGTTTTGGGCTTTTTTTTTTTCTTGAGGTATTAATTTTTGTCAGATTATGTTACAATCCCAGTGCATGCTTTAACCTACTTGCACAAGGCTCACATATATAAATACACTCAGCCTCTGTAGACCCTTTTGTATCATTCCATCACAAGTTTTTACTAGGGATAGATCAGGTACTGAAGGTGTCTGAAAAGTCTTGTGATTTGATGCCAGAGGAGGCATCATATTGGCTTCGGCACACACATCAGAGACCTGCAGTGGTACTTGGGTGCTCTGTTGCTCTGTCACAGGAGGTGAACAGTGGAGAACTGGCTGATTTTCAGCAGCTCTTTGAGCTGCAGGTAGATCCACAGGGAGTCTGATATGCATTATTCTATCAGAGTACTGTTAAATAAGGATCCATAATTAACTGCTTCAGTCCTGTCACAGAGATCTGACAGATGCTTATTTCTCAGGATCTATATCTAAAAGCCTTGTGGGCAAAGAAAACAATATATGCCTTTATGAATATTATTGGCTTATCATAGCCAGGACACTGTTTCCGAGTCTGGACAAAAGCTTTGTGCTCTAAGGACAACAGCTCTTGCCTGTGTGCTCTCCACTGCCCTGGGGCCACACTATCTGGGTATTCCCTGAAGGATTTAAGACCAGCCCAAAGTCAGACAATGATCGCTCCTGCCATTCATTCACCCCTATGGCATGTGCCCACTTGGACCTGCATGCCACGAAAAAGGATCTAAATTTGGCTGAAGCTGGACTATCTCAGTGCAATGGAAACACTTCTCTATGTGCTGCTTTCTGCAGGCATCAAAAAACTGAAGGACAGAGGTGACATGAGTAAATAGCTGCACCATGACAGCCATGAGGAGGGGATGATGCTCATTCAGTATCTTTGTATTCTTTGTCTGGATTTGTCTTTTTGCCAGCAGATGATACTACATACTGTCATGTCTGCTGCGTGCTTTGAGAGAAAGAAATTATGTCATACCTTTTTGTGAAGCAGACAGTGGGTGGCTGTAACAACACAGTAAAAGACTAAAAGCATCAGGTATTAAAGACATGATTAGATTATTTAAATATAGACCAGAAGAATCCAATCATCAGTGCTCATGAGGGGTTGCCTGTTGAAGTTACCACCTAAATAATCAGCTTTTAAAGAGTTTTGGAGAATAAAAATTGGCATAACTTCCAGTGTCATTCATTCATCAAGAGAATAAACCAGACTTAAGGCCAACTAAGGTGAAGGAGGTACTTTTCAAGTGTCTTTTCATGATGTTCTTTAGACTTGGTTAATTGGCATGGAGGTAAAAGACAAACATGTTAATCTGGCAAGAAAAGAAAAGACAGTGCCACATCTCTTTGTGATGTGAACACCATTTTTTATTTTTCCATTCATGAGGACTTTCGTGGATTCTCTCCTTTCTTCTGTTTTTGGAAACAAGAAGAATTTCTAAACGGCAAAGCAAAAGGAATTGGTGGTAGAAAAGTTACAAAGACAAGTGGATCATCTCTGGAAGAAATGGAGAAGAGTGCAGAAGGAGTTGGGAAGGGACAGCTGACCCCAAAATGACCAAAGGAATATCCCAAACCATGCACCACCACCCTCAGCATATAGAGCTGGGGGAAGATGAAGGGAGTGGGGAGCATTCGAGTGATGGCATTTGTCTTCCCAGTCACAATTACCCATGCTGTATCCCTGTTTTCCTGGGGATGGCTGAACACCTGCCTGCCCATGGAAAGTGGTGAATGAATCCTTCATTTTGCTTTGCATCTGTGCATGACTTTTGCTTTTCCTATTAAACTGTCTTTATCTCAATCCATGAGCTTTCTCACTTTTACTCTTCTGATTTTCTCTCCACTCATGATCAGACAGTGAGCGAACAGCTGTTTGAGGCATAGTTGCTGGCTGGGGTTAAATCATTACATATATCTACTGGAATAGAAAAATGTTACCTGAAAAAATACTCTCCTTAGTTATCTCTTGCTTCCAAAAGTGCTGAAAAGCTCTCAGGATGCTCTCTCACTGATTTTAGGAAAGTCTATCTGTATCACCTATAATCAAAGCAAATCATGCAGAAAATCTCTTAAACTCCAGCAATAGTCACAGGAATGCAGGGCAGGGATACACAGGAATTCATTCTATCCACACCTTTCTATCACAAATGACCACATTGCTGTTATGAAATTAGAAAGCTCCAATTCAAAAGACAGTTATAATACTTTGAGTAACATTAATACATTTATTTAATTGTCATTTACTTTTCATTCATAAAAAGGACAAAGCACAGTCCTGTTCTACTCATTTGAAAAGAAAAGATAAAAAGTAACTAAAAAACCAGTTCAATATTCATCAGTATCAAATAATAGCAATATCAATTTTCCTGAAATATAAGGAAACAACAAATATGTCTATCTATATAAACTTTAATTAAGAACCTTGCATTTTAAAGCAGATGATACATTAGTTAGTTCTTCTTGACAACAATTTGAAGCTGAAGGTCCCAGTCAAATTTACACAATTATGTGAAACAGAAAAATCTCCAACTATTTGATCAGTGTGTGACACCTACCTCATCCATGTTGCTGATTTAAAAAAAGAGAAGTGGTTTTCCTTCCCAGGTGATTTCCATGCAAAAATGAAAGAGTTTTGCTTCTTACACCATGTATTAGAAAAGTAAAAGGCAATCATGCATTTGGCAAAAGATGTACTTGTGGTTGTATATTATATAAAAATGAGTCATACTGCAAAAGAACAAAATCAAACGAATGAAGCACAATAAAACACATTTTTTTTTGTACAGAAGGCTTACAGCATATAAGTCTCTTATGTATGAAGACAGATCATTTCTCTTTCAAATAATTATACAATTTATGAAACTCAGTAGTGTTTGACACTTTGACATTCCTCTATAGGGGAGTATCACTTTTGCCTATTTAAAAAATTTTCATATTGTAACAAATAGTTAAAATTAAACTAAAACCATATTATTGATATTTATTAATGAAGACTCTACACTTTTACATGTAAATATATAGTACAAAATTATACAAATAAAAGAAAGGGGTGTAAATTATTAATAGACCTATCCTTGCTTCATGTAAATATTATTACGGACCTCTACAGTATCAGTTCTAAAAAGATAAAATCTATTTCTAAGTAGCTAGCAAGGTTGTGCTAATAAAATATGATTCAAAGCTTATAATTCTTGAAGCATCAGACATTGCACTATTACTTGAGCCAGCTGATTCAACATCACTGTGTTTCTTCATCATTCACACTCAAACTAGTTCCCAGCATACCATGGAAAATGAAAGGAATGTGCATTTCTTTAACAACTTAAAAAACCCCAAACAAACCAACAAAGAAACCCAGCACTGAAACACTCTAGACACAGTCAGAACAAAAACATTCTCTATCTCTAATAGATTCCCATTTTGAAAAGGCCATAGTAAACATGTAGCTTTGACTAACAGTTGGGATCTGACTTTCACGTACTAACACACAGTTGGATCATCCAGTACTCTGTCAAATAGAGAAATGGACTCAGAACTTTAAAACTCTTATTTACAACACTATGAACATTAGAATAATATCAAGTTCTTGAAAAAGCATATAGTTCCCCCAAATGTACGCCTTCAATACAGGAAGGTAACACCTGGTGTCTGCAGCATAAAAATGTAAATATAATAATTTTTTTACTGTGCTACTCTGCTTTTGCCATTTATTGTATATCTTTTTCTTTTTTTATATTTTAAATCTTTTCACTTTAAAAAATAACATACGTTTCCTACCATTTCATGGTCCACTTGGCTGTTCTTAGCATGGACTTCATTTCCAAACTCCTAAGTGTTATATTGCTACCATAATAATAACAATAGGAATAAGACTAAATCAAAACCAATACATTACGCTGCTTCCCTGAAAGCTGACATTTGACTCTCAAAACCAGCAACAATTACCATAACAATTTTTCAACACAATTCTTTTAAGAAAAGAATATAATAAATCTCAGGTCTGTGAAGCACAGGTAAATTCCTTTAAGCTGAGCATGTTATCCATGTCTCGGGTGTTCTGAACATATTTAAAACAAAAAAATCCTTATCACTGACTTTTATTTCAATTCCTTCAAATTCTATCCAATAATCTCAAGAAATATAGCTCTAAATAATTAAATGTTTTTGCTTTGACTGTCTCTCTAAAAACCAGTAATCCCAATAAATGATGACGGGGCTATTCAAAAATATGCAGTACACAAAACATATAGGATAGTACAGACAGACGTAGTACTCTTACATTTATCACATACAATCAACATTTCAATCTCTATTATATTTCACAATTTGTTATTCAAGTTAAAGCACCTACGTATGGTGATTTTACTTTCACTGTACAGCCTATGTTATTGGGTTTTAACACTGTAACTTGCCCCATTGGACCGAATCATGCAACTGTCACAGATCAGCATAAGTGTTTTATAAGGCATATTGGAACAAGTTAAAAATTCTTAGCCGTTCAAAAGTTGATTTACTTCATGAAGGAGTTCCTGGATGCCTCAGTCCTCTTAAAGTTCATAGGAAATCGGTAGGGTAATTCTTTTTAAAGTGTAATTTATTTGGCTTAGGATGGTGACACAGGAATCAAAAAGAATCGTGGTCCTCATCATCAAAGGGAGTCCTTTGTGTTGTGTGGAGGACAAGGTGAATCCAGCTACATTCAGAATCCCGAGCAGGCAAGGACACCCAGGGCAGGCACCACTAGGACCAGGAGCAGAGTTGGTACTCCAACAGCGGCACCTGTGCATCGAACAGAAAACAACACAGTATTGGTCTCACTCCGTCTTACTCAGCACTACTTTGCAGTGGGGGAACGATCCTGAAGTCCACGGAGTATGGAGGCTGGAAACCAGCTGGCATATCTCAGCACAGCCCCTACCTGTATGAATAATCTGAAATGGACAAAGAGACTTGCTGCAGTCGGGTGGAGGACTCACTCTTTTGTTCTGCAAGAGCTGCATGTTTATGCAGCATGTTTATACAAGAAACAAGGCCATTCAGGACACATCAGTGTATTTTGATTTGGCCAGTCTGACAAGCCAGGAGGTTATTATACCAGGAGGCAAAAGGTCAAAATAAATATTTAAGCATGTGAAAACAAAATTAATGGAGTCTTTGAAATATGACAAAGCAAAGAGACACCTTTGGAAATGTTAATGCTCATATGAACAGCAATAATCTGAGAGATGTCAAAGAGCCTGGTCCGTTTGTTTACCTGCCAGACTACAAAGTCCAGATGGCCGACTTCTAGCAGTGTGGCATTTATGTCTGTTAAAGTCACAAGGATATTTCTTAAACAAATATTTTAAGACATAAAATATTAATCTATGGCTTACAAACTTTACATGACTCGCTCTGGCAAACAGAAATAAGAATTGCTATTGTTCAGAGGTTTGTGTTGTGATGGTCCACCTCCCTGTTGGGAAAGCATCTATATGAGAAAATAACCCAGCCAAACTGTGCCTGGCTGTCAGTCTTGGAGATGGGCCAAAACAGCCTGAGAACTGGATATTCTTTCATCCCAGAGAGGGCTTGTCTATATCAGGATGGTAGATGGGCAGTGCAGGACTGCTGTTGAACACTTAGCACTGAAGTGCTTGCAGCTGGTGCTGATGGTCCTGAGGCACTGCTGGAACAGGCCCGCTGGACAGCTCTCCAGAAACTGTTAAATGAAGAAAAACCATACTGAGAAGGTAATGCACAAACTGAGCAGCAGAAATTCAGCAGGCCTAAAAACAAGCACAGCATGACAAACTGTGAAAGTACAGGGGTATATTCATCTTATTTTTTAGTGATTTATGAGGCACATTAATATTTTGTTTTTATTCTTAAATATCAAAGTAGAGGTTCTTAATGAATGAAGCCATAGAGGAAAAAAGGTTTTGTGTTTAAGAATATCCACAGAAAATGTATTCTGCTTTTGTCAGACCAGGATAATGCACTTGGAAATACACAAATAAATATTTTGAATGCTTCTAATGGAGAAAAAAAGACAAAAAGTTTGCTGAGTAAAGCTGAATGACGTGCAAGTATGAGGAAACATCTGTTTGCATGTTGCTGTTCTACAGAGAAAAAGGAATAACAAATCTTACTCTGAGATGTGCTTACTGGCTCCAGAATAGTTAGCAATTCATCTCATTATAGTGTTTCCTTCCAAGGTTTAGGCACTGTTGCAGAGATATATTTACCAGCTTTCTTAAATAAAGCAAGTCCTATCCTTGGACAACACATTAACAGAACATTCACAGGATAAATGCACATTAAGCAGATCATCTTTTTCTTTCTTTTTAGATTACTGACCTACATGTAAGGATCCATACTTTACTGGAAACACTATTTGCCATTGCATGACATCCAGTACACTCCTGTGGATCATGAATGAAAGTTAAGAAAAGTTTTGCCTAAGAACAGACTACAAGAATTAAAAGAATTAAAATCCTGTGCAGTAATGCAATTGTGATCTGTCAGTTTTAGCAACCTTTAAAAGCTAGAGAAACGCCAGATAAAGATGTAATGGATGTGTACAAATAATCATGTGGATGTAAATTAAAAGAAAAGGATTACTAAGCTCCCTCTGAAGTCTGGCCAGGTATGAGCTGGATATATGTAGTGCCTTAAAGATTCTTTCTCTCCACAGTGTTATAATGTGTGATCTCTCCTCTCAACCAGCGTTTTATGGATCCAGTGTGCAAGCAATTGCAAACTAAAGCCATCAAAATCACTGTCAAAACCAAATCAGCATCACACAACCCAACTACCACTCTAATGCACCATGTGTGAACTTACTATGAAGAGTCCTCATTTCTTTTAAATAAACAGAACACATGCCCTTAAATTTGGCTGGGGTTTTTTTTGTTTGTTTGTTTTGTGGGTGGGTTTTTTTTGGTCTTTTTGTTTGTTTGGTTGGTTTGGTTTTTGGTAGGGGTTTTCTTGTGGGTTGGTTTTTGGTTTTTTTTTTTTTTTTTTTTTTTTTGGTTTGGTTTTTTTTTTGTTGTTCTTTTTTTTTTTTCCCCCCAACAGTCCCAAGCAAAAATAGTGAAATCTTGCACAGGCTTTACTACTGTTTGGTATAGAATTCCTTCAGCTGATATTTTTAAGTTTAGGTCTAAACTATCTAGAAAAACTTGTAGCCAATGTAGTTTAACATATAATGGGATGCATGAAGCTAACTTAACTTTTTTTCTGTCTCCTGTACTCAGAAGCCTTTCTCACACAAGTGGTTGTTCATCTGTCTGAGAAAATGAAAAGAAAAACTGCTGGATGGCTTTTCCTTCAGCAAGATCTTTATGCATCACAGGAACTCCTTTTAAAGTCTCACTAATCCACAGCTTCCTATTATTATGTTAAGCTCTCTGTTGCCACCTCAATCACATAACATCCAGGATGAAACTTTCACATTTCTGAAAGGAGATCCTAAATTTTACTGACATCTTAAACAGTATGCAACAATCTTCCAAATACATTCAAAAGAAATAAAATCAATGCCTAAAAGAAACAGGAATGAAACCAGTTCTGACTTTGATGTATTTCTTAAGCCTTTGTGACAATTTGTTACATCATTATTTTCTTTAAATGTTACTTATCTTTATATATGATATTTTTGGCCCTTTTATCAACATCAGTGTCTTTTCATTGTGAAAAAAAGGACTTTTGAGATCATTCCTGGATCACAGGAAGCTGTAACCTCCCTCTGAGTGGGGCGTCTCAGAGCCAGCAAACTCAAGTTTGCTGTGCTCAGGGGACTGCTGATGAATGCCAAGGACACAGCCAGGGCTGATAATCCCACTCCTTGAGGCTCAACCCTTTGCCTGTGGAGAAGATGCAAATGCATTCAACACGAGCTCTTCACTGAACTCAATGGGAATTATTCACACACTCCTTTAGGTCTGTGTGAATATGCCACAGCAAATGCACTGTGAATGCTGCTCTCAGATTCGCAAGTACGTTGGATTCATAAATCAGGCCTATGAGAGAGTTACCGATGTGCATACAGTAAATTCTGCAGAACCTTTTCTTAAATTGTTCAAGTTAGGCTATTGATTAAGTGCTGTTAAGTTTAAGTACTGCTAAAACCTCTAGGCCTAAACCATTGGTCAAGTTGAAGGTTAAGTTTGGTAAAGGGGGTCCCCTTGAAACATATTGACACAACCGGAGAGTCTCCCTTATTCCTTTTTATCTTTACCCTTCCCCATCCATACCTTTTTCCATTCCCTGCTTCCATATAGATAATTTTAGATTGATTTTAGTTTTATACTGATTGATTTTAGGTTTTATTTTGATTTTTCTCTGTGTGTTTATTCATCTAGTAAGTAGAAGAGTGAACCTTACCAACAAACTTTGTCATACTTTCATTTCTACATCAAATCGGCTTTTGGTGATACCACTGCTGGTGATTCTTCAAACATCCTAAAAACTCATTCATGACAGTCTGTCCTTGTGACTGTTTTGCAAAACTGATTTCTTTTTATCTGAAAGAAATTTCTACTCATTTTCCTGTAAATAATACTCTCCTTTAGGTCCAGGATCCAAGGACCTATATTCCATTAGGGCTATGCAATTTTCAGCGCTCCTTTTTACTACAAGAAGGTTAATTGCAAAGCCTTCTCATATTCTGTTTCTTCTTGAGGCTAAGTTTGTCCACTTCTGTGTGAAAAAATAGGCCATCTGAAAAAAAATGAAGGGATTTTTGCCTGTTCCAGTCATTAATTTCTTTATCAACTATTAGGCTTCATTTGTATTTGTTTTCTCAGTGTTTTCATATTTACTCAGGTAGAACAGAAAAAGAGAAATGTGAGGAAATATAATTTCTTTCAACTGCATAAAAGAAAGAGGTGGGTTTGTTGTTCTTTTAACTGGATATTGAAAAGAAATTGCTCTTTTCCCAGCTGGAAACACTGTCTCCATGAAAGACTACTGTAAAAGAAATAAGCAGCTCAGCTGACATGATTTAAATTCTGTTATCCCTACTGATGGAGAATGGAAAATAACGGAACTAATTATAATATACTTATCTTGCATCACTGGCATCATTACTAAATCAAGCATCCAACTTTCTCTTGTCTAGGAAACCTTTGTGCACGAGGAAATTTTCCTCTTGCCTGTGCCATAAACCTTTCAAGAAAGGCACTATGGAGTGATTCACAGCTCTGTGATTTACTGGTTTTGCAGCAGAGTAGATGTATGGCATGGAAACAAAGCTGTCTGTCCATCTGCTCATGCTTTGGACTGTGCTAAGGTTTGCTGTGCAACGGGGGAGCAGCTTCAACTATCCTAAGAAAAACATATTTGAATTGCTGCTGATGGTCTGGGTGATTTTTCCACCCCATGATGTTAGTCTGTCCTCTTCTACTTGAAAATTCTGTCAAGGAAACATTTTGTTTTGTTCTGGCAATAGCACCTGGAACCTTGGCATTGTCAGCAGCTGGAGCTTCTTTTTCATTAACTCTAGCCCTGCCACAGACCCAGGCTGCCAACATGAAAAGATGACCTGGACTCCAAGAAAAATCAGAAAATTTTCAGTCATTGGGTTATTACTTAGCTGCCATAGGTTATTTCTCAAATACTTCTTCCCCCTCACATATACTAATACTCATTACAGATTCTTTTGCACAGAGAGTAAAGTAAAAGACCACTGGTAATATTTTTTAATAAAATATACTCTTAAAGTTGTGCACCAACAAATAACAAATAGCATGAGAATATTCTTCTGTGACCTAGGCAGAGGATCTTCTTTGGCCAGC